GTTCTAGGTCAAACTGGTTTGTTCGACTTTCAAGAAATTCGAGTTCTAGGTGTATATAGCACCTTTTTAACCGTAACACTGAATGCGAGGGAGACTTGATGCTCCAGCTTTAGCAGGCAGTCTGGGTAATGTGGAGAACTGATCATATTACACAGCAGCTGTCTCCCCCCCACCCTACCCTAGATTGAGATTTTATTATTATTATTTTTTTTTTTTTATCTTGAACATCCAGGATCTTCCCCGCACCTAGACAGATCACCTCTGTTAATTACAGGTGGATGGGCGTACATAAATATTTGCACAATAAAACTTTAATTGGACACTAAACCCAGCAGGACAGCGGAGAAAGTGCCCGTTAGCGCCGGCTGAGTCCAGAGCGAGGCCCTGCACTGCAGTCGGATCACACATCACTGGGAACCATCGTTCCTTTCCAGTTAGGGAGTGAGAACCTTAAAGCTCCTCCTTCACTCTGCACCCGTGAGCTTGAACTGCAAGTGAAGCCCTGTGTTGGTGTTCCCTGATTCACACACAGCCTGCTCTCTGCTCTCCCCGACTTCCCTCTCAGCTCAGTGACAGGTGAGGTGCGGCGCCCAGTGAAATGCCCCCCCACCCCTACCCCTACCCCACCCAGGTACACGGCACGATTAATACGCATCGCAGAGTCGCTCACATGTCCTTCCTTAATCATCCTCAATTATTAATGGCTCTGTGACAAAGAACACAATTAGCAGAGTAATTAACGCACTCGGTGACGGGCTGTGTGTGCTCTCTGCTCCTCTTGGACCCTCCGGAAGCGGTGTGTGTGGCTGGGTGCGGGCTGCGGCCGTTTCCTGGGGACATGGGTGAGGTTAGGCTTGCGAGCCGAGTACCAGCAGCCCGGTCGGGACAGAAGCGGGACCCAAGCACAGAGCAGGCCTCGAACCTGAACACCAGCAGCGCACCCCTCTGAAACCAAACCCTTCATCAAGCAGGAAAGCCACACTTTTTCAGTAGAATTAAAAGGCGAGGCTGCGATAGCACAGCAGTGCATGGGAACCCACACAGACTCACATTAACCTTTATTATGTGCCCGGCCACTGGGCCTTTCATCTTCCTTAGTTTTATTGTTTTATTTATATATCAGCCTCAGCAGAGCGACTCTCTGCCGCTAAAGTCCATCTGAACTTTCGTCCACCAGCAGCAGCCATCTGGCCACGTGCACCAGTACAGGGGGTGGGGGCTGCTCACCACGGTGAAGTTCATGACCTTGAGGATCCATATGGTGAGTGCCAGGTTCACAATCATGGTGATCAGCAGAAGCAGGATCAGGAAGTACAGGCACCTCTTCCTCCAGCCGTAGATCCCCGCGGTGGAGGAGGGGGGCGCCCCAGGCTTCTGGGGAGGGCCGGGCTGGGCTGCCAGGATGTACTGCTCCTGCGTCATCTGGGGGAGAGCAGCGGGTTAGACACAGAGCACATAAACGAATAGGGACAGCAGGGGCTCAGTGCTTAGGGAGAGTCAGGCACACGGAGGGTCACATTCCTACAGGCTTAACAGAACACAGTCTCACTGGCGCCCGGCCGACAGCGACAGCAGCAGGTTAGGCGATTTATTATTCAAACCGTGACGTCAGATGTTTTGTTTGTGGTCAACAGGACAGGAGCTGGACTCCCCTGAACTACAGCCCCTCTGCCCCACCAGGCATAGGAGATCAGCCCCTCAGCCAGACCTACACGTCACCTCACACCGATGCAAAGAGCCTTCCACCAAAGTCCTACTGGTTGCCATGGAGAAAAGAAACGTTTATTCCGGGCGGTAGAGGTCCACCTGCCAGCCTCTCACAGCAGCACCTTCTGCTGTTTTTAAACTACGGGCACGATCATGGATGTTTGCCGCAAGCCCAGCTCTTTGCGAGGTGGGACCACTTGCCTCAGCTCGCTTCATGCTACTGTCTGCGGAAATAAACGGCCCCGGAGATCGCGCACGGGAGCAGGGGTTAGCAACGGCTACCACGGCCCGGCTGTGCCACAGCTCGACGTCTCCAGGGCGTTGCTATAAACAGGATCCATGGGTTGCAAAAAAGCAGACTGGCATCTGTCCCAGAAAGCAGTGGCTGTCATGGCACCATCAAAACCGCAGACAGCCACACGCACAAATGGGCACAAGTCAGGTCAACAAGCAGTAAACAAGTACAAGTCGTTGTGGGCATCCCATAATTCTACGCAGGTCATTCATCTCACAAGCCTTCACATCTGTTAAGTGCATTCTTTCCTCACCTCAAATCCATTCAGCACAACCTGGCCGCTAAATCAGGGCCAGAAACGTCCAGACACTGTGACCACGTCGGCAACACAGAGACCCATAACCGGGGTTGACGCCTACCTGCAGCTCAGGCCTCGCTCTGCTGGATTTCCCGGGCAGCCTGTGTGAAATTCTCGCAGGCCGCTGGTATGCCTGAACTGTAAATGAAATCTAGCCATCGATCGCTTTTTAAAGGTCACCCCGGCTCTTAATGCCGCGTGAGGGCGTGCCTGACGTGCCGAGGATCGGTGCTAATTAAATGTTGACATTATAGAACAAGCTCTGCTTTTGAAGAGGTGTGACTGAGCGCGGCCGGCCAGACAGAACCGTCCTGTGCGGGTGACAGTTTATAAATCAGCCGTGTCTTCATTATGCGGCAGGCAGACACCTCATGGCTGCACTGCCATCGCTCCTCAAGGACACGCTATTTTTTATGCTCAAAATCAATAACTTACTGTTATTTTAAGATCAGAAGTGTAAATTACCAAACTGGAGATCAAAATGGGTTTTAAGCTCTAAAATTAGTCATCAGGCATCTGACAGGACAGCAATGAGAGCCGAAAAAATGGCATGTGAAGCTGAGAAGCCCCTTCACCCGGTGCCCCCGCCGTTTAAAAGCGATGCACATGGCTGGCACTGGCGTGAAACATCAGCGGAGCGTGACAGGCTTCCCCAAGTGCCAATCGAACGGGAGAGCAGTGTCGGCAGCAGCCAATCCCCAGGCAGGCAGAGCAGCATTGATAAGCTACCTGTGCTGTGGGGACTGAACTTAACTAAAAACATCCTGAGACAGAGCGTCATGAAGGAAGTTGAGAGGCTGGGGCCCTGGGCTGCCTGCCTGCCTTTCTGGGTGATTCTGCTATGCTTCTCCACAGGCCTCTGGTTTCCTCCATTAACAATGATCACTTCTCAGGTATGCCCCTTCAGGTAGAGGATCCTACGTACGGGCAGCACCCTTTCAGTACAGAGCCACACTACCATGCCTATGGGATTCTGGGTCAGATACATCCCAGGTTTCAGCCGGCTCAAGTGAGGGCTCTTGCAGGAAGTAACAGGGCGGTGCAAAAGCTGAAGCCACACCCCCAGTGTGACATCATCACTTCACTTAATCATTTCCCAGGGCAGTTTTCTTTGCATACTTCTTAGACAAGCTGTGAGTCATGGAGGCAGCTGGTTCTGACACGGCCCCATTGAGGCCCCCGATCGGCTGAAGGTAGCAGCAGTACCATGTGACCACATGGAAGACAGAAATCACTCCGGACAGGGGCAGGCGCTGTCATTATCACTCCTGCCCGCTTCACAGTCCGCCACCCATTCACTTGACTCACTAAGTCACCCAGACCCGGACGGCCTCTAGGCTCAGGGAAGGGCCTGGTTCTAGTGGAACACAGCACCAGAACCTCCCTAACTCCTGCCTGCCAGGACCCACTTCCTGATCCAAGCAGTCTGCATTTTCTATGGCTTTCATCCCTGAACAATCTCACGCCAACAGTAAAGCCACACAAGGAGCGTTACACCAGCAGCAGGGAATACAGATATAAACACTGCCCCTGGGAAGGGAATTAGAAAGACAGAGGCGGGGGGGGGGGAGTCTCTGTGAGTGAGCATGAGATCTCAGCCCTCACACTTCTCACGGCTCGGCCTCCCTCCCCTCCGTTCCTCCGTCCGATCGCGGTTTCTCTAATTTAGCACATGAACACGCAGATGACCTCTCACCGCCTACAGGCTGAGGACAGTAAATAACAGTGCACACCCACACGCTCAGGCGCATAAAAAGCCAGGAAAACACACGACGCTCCAAATTTAGCTCTATATCACCCGCACCCACAGGCTCCATCCGACAGGAAATGCTTCAGTGAACACCCCCCACCCCCTAGTACTGACAGTAATTTCACAGCGGAGTCCCCCCCCCGGGGAAACGGCTCACTCGCCAGTATTGGCCAGCTGGGAGGGGGGTGGGTGCTGGAGAAAGGATGTCAATCAAAAACACAAAGTCAGAAGTGTGAATGACAGAGGCTATAAGTGGCTGTTCCCCTTGTCCTCGTTAACGGTTTCAGTGGATGTGTGTCAAGCTGCAGCCATCTGAACTTCCCTCCTCCAGAGAGCCCAGCAGAGGGCTAAAGGTCCCCACGCACTGCCCACAGCTGCATGTACCTGAAATGGCCAGCAGGATCAGGCCTTCCACCTGTGACCTGCAGCCTCTTAACGATGCCGTGTGAGTATCTGAGAGCAGGATGCCAGCCGAACCCCCTGGCAGGTGCTGTTTATACAGTACACATTTTTTCCAGGGTTTATCAGGGTACAAGTCCCCGCTGCAGCATGTGGCTCCTCTTCTTCTGAAGCCTTGGTCTGTGTGCAGCCCCTCCATGGGATTCGTGGCGTCCTTATCGAGATGCTCCTTCAGCTGGAAGCCCCTCGTCCCCTGCTTTAAATTACACCTGGTGGTAAAAGTGGTCTGTGCTATGACAGGCTCTGCGGGGCGCGGCGAGGCCAGAGGCTGTACCTAGACAGGCTCTGCGGAGCGCGGCGAGGCCAGAGGCTCTACCAAGACAGACTCTGCGGAGCGCGGCGAGGCCAGAGGCTCTACCAAGACAGGCTTTGCGGGGCGTGGCAAGGTTGGTGGCTTGTCACTCAGGGCCCCACTGCCCATGGTAACGTACCAGACTGGTCACAAACCTGATAAGAGCACAGTAAATACTCTAACTAACCATGACATTGAGAAGTAAACAAACCAGGGCCTCCTTTAGCCTGGTCTGGGAATCAAAGACCCACTCCCATTACTGTCAAATTCATGTCTCAGCACACAGCCCACTAGCTGAGTGTGATTCAGGGCAGAGGCTGGCAGGCAGTACTGTAGACAGCTCTATGAAGGCCAGCAGGGGTCCTTGCTGAGAATTGCACCCATCATTCCAATCATTTCTTTCAGATCTGTCAACAAACAACAAATATAAGAAGCACTGCACAAAAATGTGAGAAGGGAAAGCAGCTGAGCAGACAGAAGTATCAGCAGCCAGAGAAGAGCCCCCCCCCCCCCCCCCCCCCCCCCCCCCCCCCACCCGCCCGCCCCCCCCCCCCCCCCCCCCTTTCCCGCCCCTTTTGCTTGTTCCCAAGGGGATCCGTCCACGCTCCTAAGAAAAACAGCATCCTCTCGGACTTTGATGATGGGATTACAAGTCAACAGGAGCTGCAACTTGTTACCCCAAGCGAATATGAAAGCAGAGGGGTGGACAGTCACACACGTAGTCGGCCGGTTCCCGGGACATGCGGGGGGCCCGATGAATATTGCATGGAGATGTTAGGATGGCATGGACCGGCTGAATTGCAGCGCTGTTTCATCACTATTGTGTGCTGGAAGCGAGAGCAGCGCCGCTTTCTTTATTTACCCATTCGGGGCACGGCCAGCACCTCCTTACAGCAGCACCACCTGTGCCTGCATCCCGGGCAGCTCGGCCCCACGCCGCTCTTAATGCGCCTTTAAATGCACAGCTAACGCCGGCTTTGTTACAGTAATTCACCCGGTGCATCGCAGCCTGCGAGGCTGGTTTAAAGGGACCGGCATCCACTGCAGCTGAAGGATGGGCTGTACAGGTTTGTCTGCATCCTCCTGGCCCGGCCCCTGCATCCTCCCCCCTGGCCTCCTTAACACAAGTGAATTCATGATATCCTACAGGATGGATTCCACAGCTCAAATTCAATTTCCCAACAAGAAGCCATCATGCTAATATTTGGGTTGCCTGTAAGCCTATACCCCCTAACTGTATATCCAGGCAGGCAAGCTGAGGTTCATCACAGAAGTGTGGGGTGTGAAAGGAGCCCCATGGCCAGGACACAGACAAAACACACAGATATACAGACTCACACACAGACACACATGCGCACACACAGGTTTGTAATTATATCTTTGTGGAGACTCTCCCTTCATTTATATGTGGAATACTCTTACCCCAACATGGCAACCTTAACCCCGACCCAGCGCTAACCTTAACCATAAGTAACCAAACAAAATACGAGACTTATGGCATTTTTCGTTTTTTGATTGCATTCACAGATTTTTTTGGGGACCTGAAATCAAAATAACAGGCTTTAATTACATTGCGGTGGACATTTGGTTCCCACAATGTAATATAAACCTAATCCACACA